ACTATCATATAATTAGACAAAAGCTAATACGTTTATGATGATTAGTGTATGGCATATGACTTATTTTCAATTAAAATTACCTCATTGGTAATCTATAAAAACACCTTTTCTTCACCCATGCCTAAATTGAAAACCTAACACACATTAGTGGAACATCTACCTTTTACACTATCTCAGAACAACATATATATTATGATAGAAACATTTCATGCAGCATATAAGAACAAGTAGCGAGTTATAAATATTAAATAATAATTAATAATCACAGGACAGCATTTTCACAGCTCACGCAGTTAAACAGCAAATGCATGTTGTACAGTAATTTGAAGCTATTTACACATCTCACAAACTTCATAATTTTATGACAATTCATTGTTAAAATAATTTAGTATGTTTGTTCCAATATAAAGAGAAAAATCCAAGAATGACTTGAAACAAAATATCATCACTTGCTATATTAGTTTCCCTCACACATATGAATAAAATTTGTTCCATTGTTTGAAAAGGGAATGCTTAGTGAAAGAACGTTGGTAGCGAATAGGATTTATAACAAAAATCTGAAACATTTTACCAATAATATTTTTAAAAATACCATTTTTGCTGCATTTCTAAAGTGCCTTGAAAAGTATCAAATTTGTATATTCGTATTACATAATAGTATATATACATATATATAAAGCACTTTTTTGTGAATAATGTACATTGAAACATTTAAAGCATTTATACATAAACAGGTATGACATACCTCTTAAATAAATTTATTCTGTCAAAATTTTTATTTACGCGTATCTTCTCCTAACTTCTATCTTAATAATCGTTAATGTTAATTTTAAACATGCTTTAGCATTTTGTTTTTAATAATACTTGCTTTTATATTTTCGCGATAAAACGATGTACTTTATATACTCTTTATGGAAATTAACAGGCCCAGTATTCATATTCAATTTAAGTTAATGATAGATAAAAATGAATAGACGTCCTGGGCATTAAATGCATACATTCAATTATTTTCGCATTAGTCGGTTAAAACTGCAGTTGTTCCAATATGTAAACCTGTTCAGAAATTTTACAAAGGGAAAGGCAACAGATTCAAACTGACTCTCTTCAGTCAGATTGATGTTCAGTTGATAAAGTATGTTGAGTGATTGTCTCGCAATTGTTCAATGCCTTCCGAGCAGAAAGAACGATTTGTTCTTAGCAGCAATGATGAAAGCAGAAAGACAGTTCGTACAGCTCAAAAATTATAATATACTAGAATAAACACCATTGAAAATTCATTGATAATTTCTCGAAGTGGCAAATACAAATTTGACGTACGGAAACGTTAAAAGTATTAAATACAGATGCAAGCAATATCGTATTTAAAATAGTCTTCATATGTCAACAAACATTAAATCTAATAAAAATAGGAAAATTAAGTAAAGAATAACATGGTAACAGAAATTCTTTGGGAAAATTTATACAAAAATATTCGAAAGTAATGATACGTTTAGAATAAAAGAAGAAAGGCACCGGTCTGAAATGCCTGCAGTTTTCCTATTTTAACTATTTGAATTAATAAAAAAAATTTAAAATACTGCATAATACTGTATAAGCCGAATGTATTTAGCATTTTTTTTATTATTGAAATTTAAGTGTCGCGAAAAAGATTTACAAAAACTTTAATAATATAAATGAAATTTTTCATTCAATTCAAACTTATATAAACCAAATTTCTTTATATTTTTTATCTAACCCGGAGTTCTCCAGCACTTTATGGATGTATGTATTTCAAGTAAGTCAGGGTGAATGGCATCATTAACATCGTTGTCTGTGCCTGGCAAATAACACTATCTTCAATTTCGTCCATAGCAAAAGTTATAACTTAGTATTAGGCAGTCATTTTTATCTGTTCGGGCAGTTTTCTTTCACTGCAAAGCAGAACTAAAATCCTTATTTTCCTTGTAAAAGCGGAAGAATCGTATTTTGGTCGCAATTAAAGGAAGAAAAGTCTTACTGTCCCCCAAACGGTATAGTGATTAGCGTCGCTGACTACCGTGCCGAAGGGTCCGGGTTCGAATCCCGGAGAAGGCATGGAGGTTTGTAAACGTATAGTGTCGGTGCGGCATGGCGGCACTCTAAATATGCGGCGATCCGAATGTCCTCTCGTGTGGTTTGGTGGAAGGTGAGAGGGGTGAGAGACGCTCGGATCCGTCACCCCGGGATGCTTTCTATGAAATTTTCGGTGGAACTGTGCTAAATCGCACTATCACCTGTAAGGTGCTCAAGGCGCAAACTTGCGCTTCTTGTTCGCGGAATAATCACCGAAAATAAGAACCGAACTAAAGACCGCTTCGTTATGATTAATGCTCCAAATCACGAGTACGTCTTGAGAAAGGAGAATTACTGGTATTCAAACAGACAGTTTTTTCTTCCTACATTATTCTCACATCTTTTTATTAAATTAAAGGTGGTGGAGAACTGGAGTTCGTCTAATAAACTAAACTACATATTATTCTTTTTTTTTGGGGGGGGAGAGATTTTTACTGCGATCAGTTATAGGAAGATAGGCTTAAACAAGTTGTTTTTCAACTTTGGCTGAATTTATGCAGCAAAATTTTATCTTTCGGCTTATACACGGATAAGTTTATAATCTGAAATATACGACACTTTTCTAAAGGCTAATTGTTTACAAATGCTTAAGTAAAATAAGATTTTGTTTGGAATATTTGTAAGGGAAAAAAAGCTTTTTGATAAAGGAATGAGAAATATAATAATGCGGTAAAAATAACAGTGATGCGCATGGATATTAGAGAGATGCAATATGCTTTACATTTTTATTTAAACAATCTCGAAGTTCCAGGGCGATGTTAAGTTATGAATATCACACTTTTCATAATGACAAATGACAGTTTCTATAAAAAAAAGTGACAACAGTTTTAAATGGTAGTTCTGGAACATTTCGCTTGCAGGACTCTTTAAACATATTTAAAAACTGTATCTTTTAAAAATTAGATAAAAATATGTATTAAGAAAATAAAATTTAATTAGATTTGTTAAGTTCAATTTATTACATTAATATTTCATTTCTGCATAAGAACTTGTGCTTAGACAATTCTCCCAAACCCTCCCACATAAGTCAACTATAATTTTCTGAATGTTTGAAGTGAGTAATATTCTGGAAATACTGCAGTAAAATTAATATTTTTTTGCAAAATGACGATTTTAAAACTATTCAATGTACAAATTTCTTTCTGCTTCTACCACTAAAAGACGCCAAATATATGTATTTACAAATCTCACATGCATTACATTTACATATTACCGTGCTTAAATGTTACGCACACTCATTAATGGTGTAAAACATTGAATGCATCGAATAGAAATATGTATTTTTATGCATGCACGTTTAATATCGAGAAATATTTGAAATAGTAAAATAGTTCGGAGGCAGCAGCAAATATTGAAATAATGTCATCGGTTTTTCTTATCAGGTTTGACATTAGGAGGGAGATTTAAAGCATTGTTCTCTAAACTTAAAAACCATGTTGGGCATTAAAAGCATGTATTATGTTTATCCAAAAATACAGCTTCAGAAAAAATGGCACCGGGAATGTTAATGAATTTGAAAATTACATTAATTATTTTGTTGTATAATTAACATGGTTTTCAAATCAGTGAAAAATTAAATTCGGGCTTACTTTGGGAACAAATTAATTTAAAAATTAATAAATTTAATGAACCAAAATTTACAAATGTTTTTAAAACGTATTAATATTTTAAAGAAGAAAATTATGGCAGATTTTTAAAGCATTATGTGAGGTTAGTAATTACCGCTTAAATAATAACAGAAAGGATAAATATTTATTTATATTCGTATAAAGAGGAACCATACTGTCTTTATGGAGGGACATGATATACATTCTACGTATTCTGATGAAGAAAACATCAGTTTTAATTTTCCGGCTAAGAGTATGGATTAAAGTATATAAACTTAGAAGCAGTTTCTTTTTCACTGTGAATTTTTAAAATGAAGCTAAAATTTTGAAAAATGTTTTATTGGTACCCAAATGCAAACATATTTATCGAGAAATTACAAATCATTTAAGATAATCATCAATTATAATAATGTTAAAAATGAGTAAAAAAATGAGTCATGGAAACGTATTCAGTATGTATTAATTTGTAAACGATTTAGAGAAAAAGAAGTTTATAAGATGTAGTTTTGGTTTGATTGCTTAATTCTGTAATGCAAGGACTCGTGAGAAAGTTTTTAAAATATATTTTTTCGAAATATTGTTATAATTTAAAGTAAAGGGATGGTATATTTTGTTAGATTCTGAAAGGAATGTATTTTTAATATTATATTTTTATAAGTGCACAGAAATACGCATAATATCTTTCTCTTCAGTTAGTGCAAAACATCTAGAATTTTACAGTTTATGATCCATGAATCAACATCGATGTACACACAGATGACACAGAGTTGCATAGTTTATAGAGAATGCAGATACAAATTGCATGTTAGAAATAATGTGATACTAGTAACATGACAAAGATACATATCTTTAACTGGGATATAAAAATTGTGTACAGAAAATTTTTGTAATTATCTAAATAAATTCCTCTGCAATTTTCAGCCATTATAGTCTGGTACTTATCTTAAGAGAACTTGTTGCTACACGTGTGTATGTTTTGCTTAGTCTTCCTTCTGTACTACTTATAGAAACCCTATGCTAATCTCGTTTTTGGTTATCATTTACAGTGAATAACTCATAAGCCTACTCATATGCCTATTTTAATTACACCTATAAATGAAAGCCTAATGCAAAGTTGTTAGTGAAGAACTGATGCTTTCAATTTGAAAAAAAAAATAATAAATATAACAGCAATCGAAATTAAAAACTTCTAAGATATCAAAATTTACACAAAGAATGCTTTCACCGAGAATGCAATTTATTAAAATGTCTTTAAAATATTTTTTTAATTCCTTATTTCTTAAGTTATTTTAAGTTTATTTAATTGTAAAACCATTTTTAAAAATGCTTATTTTCTCTTAATAATTTTTCAATACTTTTTAAAAAAATTAATCTGTATTATTACATTACAATTTAAAGCTTATTTCGAGTGTAGCTTATATTTCTAAAACACTATGTGAAATGGAAAATCAATACAATGATGAAAAACTCAAGTCCTGAAATATCCGAAAGAAGATGAATATACAAATACAAGATAAAAGTCATATTATTTTCAAAATGTGTCACTTCACGAAAACGTATCGATGAAAAAGAGTGGAAAAAAAGGAAATACAACGATTAGTTATTTTGCAAATGTTGCTTGTTCAATATCACAATCAGCATAGATGAGACTGATGAAATAGTTTCAACAACATCTAGAGAAACGTTTACGTTATCACGTTTTCTAAACACCAGTGTGGTGTGAATACAAATTAAGGCACTCTGTGTGTAACATTCCACGAATTTACAACCCACGCGGTACAAAAGGCTAGGTACGCTTCATCAAAGCAGTTAATTTTCCAAACCGTAATCTATCATATAAAAAACGAACTAAACTAGACCATCATTTTTGATCAAACAAATGTAAATGCGGTTTTTTCAGCATTCAGTACCTTGTATGTTAGCTGAGAAATATATGATGTATAATATTAAGCGGATGTGCAGGTATTGTTGCACTAGCACTATCAAATAAAATGTAAGAAATTCTTCTAGATTTCGCGTTTAGCATTTTTAGAAAAAATGTACCTGAGAAAATTATTAATATACCTATTAATATTAATATTTTATTTCCAATATCAATAGACTTGCTTATTTCCATATATTCGGTTTGCAAGATATTAGGTGTAAATCTTTACATATTTATTAAGGACACGGCATATGAAATATTTACTTTGGCTATGAAAATTTATTATTTTTCTACTTATTTAATTTTAAATCAAACCAGAATCTACGTTAAAACTAAAATTCTTGCTTTTAAATTTATCGCTTTAAATAGCTTCTACTAAGTTTCTCAGTGCTGTTGCTTAAAATGTAAAATCAATGAAATATATGCACTTAGAGCTATTGTTTGGATACTGACTTCCAATATTATAGAACGGAAAGTAATTTTTAAGAAAATTTTGTGATTAAATTACGGTTGGAAATAATACTGGGTAATGACACATTGAAATGCTTACAAGTAATGGAACAACTGCAATTTTAAAAGGAAATATAGATAAATGAAACCACTTCTGAATTGGGTTTTAAGTAATTTGGTGACAGCAATAGTTGTGCAATTGCCATTTTTCTCAGTTTTTCAATGATCGTAGGATGCAAAAGGATTTTTCTGTGTTTGGTAAAATTTCAAATTTTGATACTTTCAACACACTTTGAAATGTATAAAACTAATTTTATTTTAAAATATGGTAACACATTTTTAACAAATTATCAAGTCAACATATCGACATTATACATAATTATATATTAATTCAATTATCTATAATAATTTTAAATACATTTTCTAATTTCAGACGTCCAAAAGCAGCTTGAAAGAACAATTATATGAATAGAAAATAAGTTCGTATAACGTTCAGTAGTTTTCTTTTGGAAGGGGGGGGCAGATTTTACTCTTTTCAAATGAAATACAGAATATCATATTTTACACAGGCATTGATGTTTGCATTACACAGTAAGCATATCTTTTAGAACAGTTTAACAGTGATCAACGTAACAAATGCGTTGTAAACGGTTATGTCAATGGTAAAAACACCAACGATCTGTTTTAAACCGAAATGATAAACAACGAATAGAAAATATTAAAAAAAATACTGAAAATTATTCAAACTTAGTTGATATATACTTCCTTTTGTTTAGACACCACCCTGTTAAATTCAGGGAATTCAGGAAAGATTGCCTTCTCTCTTCATTTCTTAGCTACCTGAAAAAATGTAAGATAATTACTTTATTGTTGCTTTATCACAATTAGTTATAACTTTGATTTATATCATTGGAAAGGCTCCATTGTTTAGTAACAATACGAATACTCAGCTTTTAGCATTAATAATATTTTTTTAGTTACTAATTACTTTAATTTTAATATAATAGGAAAATTCTGAGAAACAAAACCCGTTAAAATATATCATGAACATAACTTTGTGTTCAGTAATGCAGCATTTCAAAATGATAAATTATAGTATAATCTGTATTATACTTACTACAGTAGCTTTGTAAAACAATTCTATAATCAAATAATTATGTAAAAACGTAAAAAGAACAATTCATTATGAGCAAGTTTAAAAAAAAATATTTATCAATCTTTAATATATATCATAAGTTTTCTAACAAAAACCAAGTTGATTTTATATGCAAAAAGAAAACATTCATACTTTTTTACCTTGTTTCCAGAACCTTCGAATTATAAGGTCATAATCTATTGAATTATTAAGTCGAAATCCTTTAAATTTATACCTTTGAATTGTAAAGTCAGCTTTGAATTTAGAATAAGGCTTTTAAAACAATGGAAAATTCATCAGATTTTTAAAATAGTAATGATATATTTGAGTAACAAATCAACCACCTTCAACTTAATATACGAGAATGGCATCTCTTTGGGTGGACGCACAGACCTCCATGTTTTTCCAAGGGGAACCGTGAATACTCAAGTTTATAGAGATGACATCCTTGATGCTTATGGGCGCCCATATGCCGGGGCAATAGGTGATGCTTTCCTGTTGCAAGACGACAATGCAAGACCACACAGGGCTCACATCGTAGATGATTATCTTCAACAGGAAACAATTATGCGCATGGAGTGGCCAGCTTGATCCCCGCACTTGAATCCTGTGAATCACGTTTGGGATGCTTTAGGGAGACATCTAGCTGCTCTCAATCCGCCCCCTTAGACCCTTGCAACTGCTTTGCAAGAGCAATGGCTCTCGCTTTCCTGTGGAACTGATAGACCGCATAATGAAAGCATCACACATCGCTGAATATGCTGCATTGCATCTAGAGGCGATCATATTCCATATAGAAGGTACTTTTCCTATAGCAAACAGACACCTTCGATTTGTTCATTTTATACATGGGCTAATTTCTATACTACTATAATTGTCTGGTAATTTCTTTTTATGTTATTTGATACCTTAACTATGTGTTGTATTTTGTGGGTAAGTTTCATAAAATTCTACATGTAACTGTTTCAGTAATCGTGATTTTTGTGATTTTTCCTTAATTTATGATAACCAGTGTATATGAATTATTACTCAAACTACCCTAATAAAACGAACTTAAAGAACCCAAGAATAAAGTTTTTAGTGGCCATTATATAAAAATCAGCCACTAAGACGGGAAGCGGTGGCCTTTTTATTATGAATGCATCTAATAAGTGGACCACTGTTGCCTCTTATAAAGGGACTGACAAATTACATCTATGCCTTCTCCGGGATTTTAGCACGGGTCCTTTGGTACGGCACTCAGTATCACCAACCATTTTCCCTTCTCGGCGGAAAATTCAAGAATATTCATTACGTACGTCGTCATTAAATTTCATTTCCATCTTTTCAATGAATATAGATGTGTTTTTAACATCCTGTATCTTGAATTCATTTTTCATTAAACGCGAATTTCAAATTTTATCTTAATAAAAAACGGCAATTTTATTTGGCATATCTCATTGCGGCTCAGAATACTGAACTCAAAATTTTCTAGAAAGAATTTAGCGTTCCGTATTTAGTGCATTTCAGTGTTCATTCTCGAAATATTCATCACTTCCCCCGGCCTAAACTTGCTTTTGATTTCAAAAGACTGTATAAACGTAAATTATCTGAACCGTTGCTCAAACATATTTTGTCAAAATATAATGATAAAACGAACCTCCGTGTTCAAGAATATTTATTATGTACTTCGTTCACTAAATTTCATATCCATCTTCTACGAGGATATATATATATATATATTCAGTACTTTTAAAACTGTACTCTTAATTTTATTTTTCATTAAAAGCAAATTTTAAATTTCCTTTTAGTGAATTTTATTATCGAAACTTATATTTCCATCTTACTGTTTTTTTATACTAGGATTGCAGAGATTCGAGTTCCAAATGCGAAATATTTAATAATTATTTAGGATTTGGATTCGAAATAAATCTGACGTTCTTTTCCATCCATATTTAAAATATTTAAACATAATGTAAATTTTCAGACAATTAATAACCTTCTTTTTCTGCTGTATATCACTATTCTTAATTTAGATCACTCAAAAGAACGATGTTTGTAGCAAGGAATAACTCACCTTCAGTTTACTCCATTCTGTTGTATACAATTTCCGTTTTGGGTGAGGAGAGAATTTACCATCTGACAGTTCACTTCACCCATTTTATTCTTTGCATATTCTATCCGAATACCACCCCTGTCAGAGGAGAAGAGCACATACCCCTGCAGAGCTTGAAGCGCATGCGTAGCCAAACGAATATCCTACAAGTAATGAAGAAATATTTCATATTGATAGTATGATATGATAATAAAAGTAATATTATTCCATTTTTTCTAGTAATATGTCTAAATTTAAGCAAATTAAAAAAAATTCATAACGGAAGCCATAGAATATAATTTAATGTTATCTAAAATTTTTCAAAGTATTGTGAATTATATTTTTATATATTTTTTAGTGTTGCGGATTATTTGTATTTTTCATTTGGTGCATTTAATATGACATTGGTCTGTTTTTTTTATTATGCATTGTGCTTAATTCTTTATGCATGGCCATTTGTTGTGTCTGTATGTGTTTAACTTTTGTATTAATTGATAGAGTTTTAAATTACGATCAGATATCTTTGTAATTTGAGGAATAATAGAACAGAAGATATACACAAAAAGTTCTCTACTGGGCCTTGGCGATAATTCCTACCACCAAGATAGCGAGATTTAGCCACTTTCATTTTTCAAACTGGTGACAAATTGAAAGTTTCCGGGAAACGAGTTTTTGAAGCTGTAAGAACCATTTTCCTGAATAGTGCCCTTTTTCCTCCTTAAGAACTGGAATAAGCAAAACGCTGTGAGCTACTATAAACCAACCCAGTCGAAACTCAACTATAAACCAGCTCAATCTGCTTCACACTCTTGAGTTTTCTTTTCGGTAAGTATTGCGCTAAATTACGCTTTGAAAAGAATTTCAGCCAACTATAGTCACCTGTTAAAGATAGTTTTGCTTTATCTCTGCGTTACTTTTCATACATTTACAAACGTTTATCTTTCCTGTAAAAAATGTCATTCATCTCAAGTAGGAGTAAAATTCCACGATTTCGGCTATTTGTTTAAAGAAAGTTCTAATAATTCATGGTTTTCAATATTGCGCCTCGAATATTGAGTTATAGTATTCATATTTATGTAAAATATGTATGTTATATCATTTGTCACATGTATTAAGTCACATCACATGCAAATATCTGACTGAGATTTTAACTTTCTCAGGCTTAACAATTTCAGTCTTTTTTTTTTTTTTTTTAAATTATTCAACTACTAAAGGGGCTTGTTCCCATAATGACAAAATTCAGAACTACATTACTAATAATACAGTCTGTTGGCATAAGCACTTTTAATTTCATATTAAAATCTAATGTTCCTTCATACATTTAATCTGCATTAAAATTATATATTTGAGGAAGATTATGGGAGCTGATCTGTCCCCATGGTGGTGCTGGAACAAGCTGCCATAACCTTGAGCTGGATTTCGAATCTATTAAAAGTTTTCAAGGATGTAGAGTCTTTAAAGTATGGGGAGGAGGCACTTATAATACTGTCTAGTAGAAAGTCCTCTCGTGAGGTTGAGCATAAGACAAGAGGGGTAAGAGGCCCTCAGATGAATTCTCCGGGTTGCTTTTTATGAACATTGCTTCGGAACTTGGTAAAGACGCACTGTCACCTATAGGATAGCTAGAAAATGGTTAACGATAAACGCTATATATTACGTCTTAGATATGATAAAATTCCTGGATTGATTTTTCTGAAGTTTCGATTAGTAGCAACAGCATCAATACATTATTTTTAATTTATAAAACAAAATCTGACAGTTAAACTAATTTGAAATTGTATAACACAGTTCTAATCAGAAAATAGTTTTAAAAAGGATTTTTTGCCAGTTTTACAATAAGTTTTTAAATTTCTTTGTGGCTTGCTCAATGTAATTGTAAGTAAAGTTTCTTTGTGACTTACGGAATGTACAGGTTTTGTACATTCGCTGTCGGCTAAAACATGGCGAAGAAATCAACGCAAGGCGAAAACGTCGTCGTACAAAATATTGTGGGAAAAAGAAAGCAAGCAGAAAACATCGGAGTTCTAAAACATCGTGGTACAAAACAACGTCATTGAAAATAAAATAAAGCGTTCAAAATTTCGCAGTTTGAAAACTTGATCATCGAAAATTTCGTGGTAAAAAATAAAGCAGGTATGAATCATCGCGCAAGCATTACATCGCCCACATGCGGTTTTTAACTTTTAAAAAAATTTAATGCATATTAGAAAAATAATATGTGAGCGCAAGAAGGAATGAGAAATATTTTTATTTTTATATTTCATATTTCAGTTAATAGAATTTCAATCCCCTAGTGAAATATTATGTAGATAGCATATTTCGTCATAACTTGTAGAGACATTAGGATTTTTTGGAAGCCGGAGAGATGAGTATGCTGACCACTACACTAAGAAAGCACGCTAGGAATACCTTATATACTCCCTCTTTTAAAAGGCGACTGGGGTTTTAGGGGACCCAATCGTCAAATCCTGTGTGAGGAGAATCAGCATCCAACACCCTTTTTGTTCGGGCGACACTGTAGAGACATTAGGATTTTTTTGGAAGTATAGAAGATGAAAAACGAGCAATCGCCTTCGGCGGGAATCAAATCACGGACCTTTGGAATACCGGCTAAGCGTGCAGACCAATACTAGGAAGGCATGCTAGGAAGACGAGAGAAATATCTTATAAACTAACAAATCGACATCCAAACGCATAACTTCACGCTGTACATGGCAATCTTAATGACATATTAGAAAGACGAAAAAACTGAAACAGAACAAGATTTAATTTTCATTACCCTCTAAGCGGCAAGGCCGTGTATATACGGCCTAGAATATTTTTTTGTGATATCTGCAAGAACATGCATATTAAAATGTGTCAAAGAAATTAAGGCAATATATCAAAAGTACAGAAATCCAGGTATGAAATACCAGGAGAGTTTTTTCCTTAAAATCAAAAAAATAATTTGTTCTCATAGTAGTTTTGGGAAATTTATGCTTTTTTAGCGAAAACCCTGGCTGCTCAGGAACATCAGATTAACAATGAAAGAAAAGAGTTTTGCAATTTAATAATTAATGAAAGAATTGTAATAGAATTGACCACATACAGTTACTCAGCTTCGTTTTTCGATTATTTTTTAGATTATATTTTTCATGCAAAATTAGATTAATAGATTGGAAAAGTGATTAATTAATTAGTGATCTTTGTTAATTAGTTATGCAAGTTTAGAATTCTATTAGCTGCTATAAGTAATAAATTTACAGGTACAACAAGTATAAATTTCCTTTAATCGCGGTGTTTGTACCACAACGTTTTCTTCTTGTTTTTTTTTTTTTTTTTTTTTTTTTTTCTTTTGTTTGCAGCGATGTTTTCGCCTGTAACCGTACATTCAGTTCACAAAGAAAGTATGAATTATTGTACGGATATTTCTATACTTGAGAAAATATTATATTATATTCCATGCTGTTTTACATAAATATATGTGTTATGAAAATCCGTAAAAGACCTGACAAAAATTGATGGCGTAGAACGTAGATCCACACTAAAGAGAAAGAATCCTGACTGCATACTCCGCTAAAATGTTTAACCAGTAGTAATTAGGAAACTTGGTAGCCGAATAATATTAAATATCCCTTTCTATTTCACCAGACATTTTTTGACTCAATTTACTTGTCACTCTAATCGTGCCTAATTAAGAACATTTACAATTTCGATACTGTTTCAATGGGAAGAAAGCATAGCAAAATAGTGTCCAAATAGCAACAGAGGTATGAGCGAAGTGCGCAATATCCAGTATGACAGTCTGTTAAGACAAAAGTTTTGGTTTAGGTTAGAAAGGTTTCAGTTCTCAGAGTTTAGAATTAATTAAGGATCAGCTAATTAACTACGTCATCAGCGTTACACAAGCTCTGTGGCACAGCTTAATCTAGAAATGGCGCAGACCAGAAATGTTATTATTTTTAGAATAGAGACGAAATACCCAAATTAAAAATGAGGAATTAAAACCTATTGCTAATTTAAATTATAAAGCTAATTTAAGTAATTTTTATCTTACACACATATAAGATCTATATCTATTATATATATATAGAGAGAGAGAGAGAGAGACATTTCATTTTCTTAAAGTTTAAATACCAATCTTACATTTAAAAATTTTTCCATATTCCCGTAAGTTCCTCAATTTTTTGTCTTTATTGTGATTTACTTTTTTAATTAATTTTATGTATATATGAATCAATTTGTAATTTGTGATTGTGATCAGTTTGCAATTTATAAAGTGTAAAAAGTAAGACTATCAGTAAATTTTATTTTAAAAGTGTCTGTGATACTTTACCTACATTAGAAACGAAGAAAACCTATATGGTAAAATAAATTTCTACGTATTCTGGCTACAACTATCAGTCATAATCAACAAGTTAATATCTTTCATCCGGATTGAAAATATTAAAGCATATGTTTCTCCTTGAATTTTGGTCAATTTAATGCTTTCTCGGATTTGTCACATATTTCCGTGTTGTAATGGCAACTGATAAGTGGTACGATATGCTTCTTAATCAACTGATTATTACAAGTTCAATTAGTTTAAAATTGCTTAATGGAAGTTACCAGCAAAGTAACTATAACCTAGTGCAATTATTCACAAGGATGTTTGAGCTTGTTAACCAATCTTGAAGTAATGCTTTCTGTAAGAGAACAAACGTAAAAGACTTAAATGCATGCAATTAAGATTACATTAATAATTCCTTACTAGTGCAGGTAAATTACGTTCTCTGCATTCAAATCGATGATGGCATTATCATGCTTTTAATAGGCTTAAAGGAATTTTGCGACTCCCAATTTCTTGATTTATTTAAAATAAAAGGTAAGATAGCATGTCTTATGTTCCATTTTAAAGAGAATGGATAAGAGTACAAAGGGATTATAAATAAATGTTGCAATAAAATTTACAGGAATGTAGTGCTAAGTACTGCATTAAATACTGAAGGAAATGCATGGTAAATACCTGTAAGAAATAATATGGTAAATATTGAAAAGAATATATGGCATTTAGAAAATGGCTGGTGTGAGCGTGACTAAAATTTATTAGCAAAGGCAAATGTACAGTTTTCTCAGAAATAGATGAAATTGATAGCATCTTTTAAATGCTATAGAATTTTAACAAAAATAAATCTGAGTATATACTATTGTAGGAAACACAGGCTCTCCAATTTAAAAGGGGATTGCATATTTAAAGGTACTAGCTTTTTGGTTATTCTCTGATTCTTACGTTGTTTTAATAGATGTCAGATGTAATGAACCAGTTTAGTGGGAAGTACATGAATTCCTGGGAAACAGAAGAGATTTGATTTTACCATTGTCATATTGTATGTCATATCATTTGATTGTTGTTTTCCTAAGAATTTCAATCGTCATCATATTTATATTTGATCAGGGGTTTGATAAGGACTCGGCGTGATTTCATCGAAACAAATATGTTTATGATAAAATTACTTATGATGAAATTCCGAAAATCTGCGTTTGTTTATCAAGTCTACTCTAAATCTTACAAAAACATTTGTCTGGCAAGCTGCTACATCAACATCAGGAACTCAGACGCTGAGATCCATTGCCATGGTGAAGAAGGATGATCATCTCTCTTGATTACAGAACCACGATGAGACACGTTATGCAACAGATACCACTATGAAGTTGTTCATTCATATATAAAGACCATGGCCACGGAGTTGTCCAGACCTTATTATGGTACTGATTATATTTTGCAGCTCTTTAAGCAACACAGTTTAAAATAATACACAATACTCGGAAGCGTTGGGAAAGAATAATACTGCTGTCATAATGAATTTAAACAAGAAGAAAACTCACAAAGAAGCTAAGAACATATAAAAATGTGTAAAAAAATGCACTGAACTAAAATGGCATCATTTTCAACATATTCCTCAAGTAAGTTAGTACATAAAAATACTACATAAATATCTGCACTTATTTCTCCCCAGAAAATCAAGTTTCAAACACTTTACATATTTACATCAGCAAGGCAAGCAATATATAGAATTTCAATATTATTTCTGACGCAAGAGAAAAATATGTTTTAAACTGCGGAAACATCTTTTAGATGGGCATTTTTTTTTTGTTAAACTTGAAGCATCAACTGTAGAAACATCTTTTGCTTTGAAGCATCACTTCGTGAATTTCAAGCGAAATTAAACACTAGAAAATAATCAAACATTTTGTGACTATTATATTTCAATTGGATTCCTGTTTAAAATTGGATTCCTGTGGTGCTTAATAAATAAGAAATTTTCTGTTCTTTTCTCAAATTCTTCTACTGTGAGGTAATATTGAAGTAGTTAAATTAATTAGTAATGCATTATACTGAATGATTGAGCTATTGATTGAGAGTGTGATTAATATTTTTATACAAGATTACTGATAAAAAGATAAAAAAATCAAATAAACGTTTTTGCAAATGTTCATTTGCAAATAAATCAGTTCTAAAAGAAATCTTAATTATGTTTACAAAATAATTTAATTTCTTAAAATATCTTTTGATTATGGTATAAAAGCAAATACGCAACTCACCTGATATTCCACAAATGCCACTGGAGCCCCACCTTTGTTATGCATACGCAAACGACAAAACCCCGGAAAGCTAAAATGGAAAAAAAAAAAAAAAAAACTTATCACTGATAATTAGAAATTTTATCAAACTATATAACATCAAGTGCGTATCAGCTTTTAATACAAAAATTTTAAAAAAGTTAAACAGAATACCACGTAATTTCCGAATATAAGACTGATGCATGCATAAGCCAAAAAGTAAAAGTTTCCTGAAGTCGAGATAAAAGCGAAAACGTGGGGTTAAGCCTAATTTAGAACCACTCCGTTGAATCTAACGGTGTATACCACTAAAGGTCCGAAATGCATCGTCTAAATTAACTAGACTGATCAGACAAGCAAAAGGTTGAGTTTCGAATAGCAGAGGTGAAACTGCCGCTTCTTATTCGAAAAAGTAATGGTGACAGCGTCATGGATTGAACTGATCCATTTGGAGCTAATAGTTTTCCTTTCTCAGTTCTTTTAAATTTTAGACTTAGCAATAATGTGGCAAATTGTATTTAGTTCTTAGTTGGCGATAGCTATTCTCAAGCAAGCATAAGTTCCTTTTTCCCCTTTAGTTGCGTTCTTGCTTTAACAAGTAAAATTCAATTCTTCAGTTCTACTGTATAGTGAAAGTGTCTGTGTGTATTTAATTATGGTAAAGCACACTAGGGCTATCTGCCTAAAGGGAGGGATGCCTTCGTGGAGGACTTTCTAAGGGAAACTGGCTCGTATACACGTTACACATGGGGAAAATCACGAAAACGCCCATGCAGCCAGCCCGTTCGCGGGATCCGAACCTCGGACCGAACTACCAGTGTTTAGCGACTTTACCGCTCGGCCGCTAATGGGCCTGTATAGTGAAAGATACTTGGACATCCTGAACAGTATTATTGACAAAATTGAACATCGTGATGTAACAATGCCGATAACGATGAGTATGATGAAAAGGACAACTATGACGTTGCCTAGGACATCTTCGTAGCAAAGACATACTTTTAAAAGTCAAAAGAAATTTTCAAGTCGTACCAATATTAAGACTTGCCTGATTATGTTAACAATTAATAACACGAAAATAATATTCGTTTATTTAAGCCATAGTATAAACATTATGATCAAATTATGTGTAAAATCATTTAAAACTTCAACCCCTAAATAAGTCGACTAACGAATTTGAATGTCAAAATATTTGATAAACTTATTTGATAAGCTTTTATATGAAAATACACGGTTACTGAAAAAATATTCATCTAATAACCAGGCAATAATTAACCTTACATTAAATGACATGAATGAAATGAAGCGCTTAAAATTTAAAAAATATTTGTAAGAGTTAAAATAGCTATACATAAATAATACAATTTCGGATGCACCCCTGTACATCAGTGCTCTCATGACAATCAGCACCAGCAGGTCTCTTCTGACATATGCTAAACCTGACAGTGTGTCTGGGACAGACAATTACGACTGGAATTGTGACAGTTGTTGGTTAGAGATCAAAGCGTATCTATGGTAAGTGGAACGTGACACTGTCCTCATCAAGTGACAAGCTTGGGTGAGAGCGGTTGCTGCAATTTGCCATTAGGTCATAAAGGTGAAGTGGTTAAACTAGGAAGATTTTAGAAGCTTCCCTATGTCTGGAAACAACTGATGGTTTTCTGCTTGCTTTATACAAATTTGCATCAGAAAGTTATGAAATAACTGACAATTAAAAATAAGAAATCCTTTAACTTTTATTCATAAGATGACCTGAAACACACAAAAAGTGTAATAAAATAATAAAAAATCCCTGTAATTTATTGCCGTTTCTTTCAGTTTGTTGACCTTTCTTTCCCTGAATATAATTCCAAATAAAAGTTAACTTTTCTGTGGTTTTAAAGTCTATTATTAATAAATATAAATACATAAGAATTGTTATAATTATGACTTTTAATTCCCTTCCGCCAATTACATTTTTAAAGGAGTTGCATTTCTTAAAATTTTGCCCGAATGTGTTTTTAACTACATACACACACACATATAAAGTACATAAACGTTACTTTATATGTGTGTATAAGAAGAGAAACGATGTTATAAAGAACAGAAGAAAAAGATAAATATGTAATTTACAAGAATATTTAATGAGGATGAAAGGGCGTGTCTTTGCAAAACACCTCATTAGTCGTCGCCATGCATGGCAACACAACCGTCTTACATTATTACTCATTTCAGAAATATATACAATTTGCAGGGAGTAATGAGCGGTGCTGTCGGAAGATAGTGTTTAAAATGTACTGTTACGCGAATCGTATCAACATGGTTAGCTAATTACAGTGAGTTTATATGCAAATAAATAAGATGAACTCCAAATGTGAAATTTAGCAAAATTAAATTCTTTATTTCTTTCACATAAATATGGGAGTGTTAATGCATTAAATGAGGTTCATTTAGGTTTGTTAATCAAAGCCACAGTCCGCATACTGCATATGTGCTTAATTGTATGAGAACTTTTAGTGAATTTCATTTATCCTTTTCATGAACCATGTTAGTCTTATTTTGATTTATATATTTCTTCTGGGCTATCTTTTACAACCAAACTCAATGAGTTAGAATTGAAAGGAGGTCAAAAATAGTTCAAATTTTGGAAAATTGAAGTCAAAAGTGCCGTCTGCAAAACTGGGACTTTATAAATATATTTTAATAAAAAATTTTATTTATAATCCCAGTTTTGAACCTTAAGTTACTATGCAGATATGCATATACATTTACTTATCAAATTAGGACTGAAACATTTTCTTCATTAAAGATAAAAAGGTGTTTAAAAACAAAGTACTCATATACAACAAATGTTTAGATATTTTAATGGTATACACATACGATATATAGCTGAGTTAACTGATAATGACAAAAATCCTGGACGTTGATGAAGAATTAGACCATATATTATTCACTAAAATGTCGTAATGGAGATTAAAAAAATATATTTTTTGCATTTAGAGATATGTTTGCTTTCAATGATTTCTTTTTCTCTCATCAGTAGGATTATTACGTTAAATGTTTAATGCATACGCTTTAGAAGAAACGGCATTTTTTAAAAGTTGCCTTTCGGTTTCGGGAAGACGGTTTATTAAAATTAAATATTTTTCATAGTAAAAGAATATGACTAGAATGATAAGCATGCGATTTTGTCTTATTCTGAATAAAATATGGATTATATAGCAAAAGCAAATATCAATTGCGATTTAAACTTCTTTCAAAATATTAAGATATTTAAGATTTCGTGAAATTTCGAAATGTGAGATACTCACCTTCCAAAAAGGTCTTTAAGTTCTTGCTCGGAAACGAATTGTCCTAGATTGGCCACAAACAGTGTGGAACACGGCAGGGTGCCTGATGCAGAAGAGGTAGACCCCACTGGACTTGCTAGTGCTGGACTGGCCACCAAATGGGGTGGAGGTAGCGTCGCATGTATTGCGGCGCTACCGGCTAGGGCAGCATGAGATAACGGGTGGGGCATCGTCAGTGGTGGCTGAAACGATAATTCCCAATCATGCTATAAATCATTAATTAATTATAAACTGAAAGCACATACAGATTATTGCGCGAAAATACCCAAGCTCATGAGTACTCACCGGTAGCTGTGCATGTAAGGCAGGGTGCATGAGCGCCGCTGTATGTAGGGCCGTGGACACGGGCACTTCTGCATAGGACAAAGATAAGTGGGGCCAACCCTCATGAGTGGCTGGTAATAACGCCGCTCCAATTTCTGCTGAGAAGACAACCATTCACATGAATAAATTATTTACATCCGACGCACACGTTTATATCATTGGAGCATTTACATTTTAAGGTATTATACAGGATATCATTCAATAATCTATGGCAATATCTTCAGCCTTCCCTCTAAGAAAATTTCCATATCGGAAGTTCTTTTATCTTGATTTTATAATTGCTGGTTTAATTATGCATATAAATTGTAATATTATATAATGTTCTTCCATTTTAATATGTTTATTACTAAACTTTTGTTTTTCATTTTGTACTGATTGACTGTTTGACTGCAGCATTTATTAATATTGTATTTAATAAGAAAAATATTTTGTAGAATAAAGTATTAACATCATCTGGTCTATTTTCATCGTACGAACAAAATAATGTAAAAGCATTTAAAATTACAAAAGAGTTACAGAAGATCTAACTTAGGTTTTTAAAACCAGTTTAGTTAAGTCGATGGAAAAAAAAAATTAAAATGGGACAGTACCTTAAAAGAATTAGAAAAATCTGGTATAAACGATATACAAGAAGCTTCAAAGCTTTTGTTGTAGCCTTCAATTCATACCTGTTCTTTTAACTCTAGTTTCACATATTTTTAAATTTTATGCCTTACCGAGCTATTAGTGGTGAGCAAGAAAATTGTTAAATTTATAAGAATATTCATCTAAACTTCTCTATATTATTTGGTATAATATTCTACTAAACTGCTAATCGTCTTTTGAAAGCTTAATTTTCTCCTGTAGATAACTTAGTAGTAAGCTACAAGCTTTACTTTGACTACAAATAGCTTTCAAATTTGCTTCCATATGGCTTACCATCAAACGCTTCATTCTGTGCTCAGGGAACTTCTACAACTCTGTAAGTTAAAATTTGTTTAATAAATCTGCAAAACGTTTGTAGATAAAGGATCTCGAGATTTAGAAGTTCTATACCAGTTCAGCGATAAAAGCAATGAATTATCTTCCTGCAGCCTTTTAAAGACATTACAATACTCAGAGACGCTAAATCTGTTCTGAGTTTTGTGGTTTCGCTTCTTAAATTAATAACAATATATTGAGAAAAATTGATAAAAATATTGGCAGATTAAATATGCAAAAAGCAAGATTATAGTCTTAGTGAAATCTCTGTCTCGCTAGAAAATCGTGTAAATATTAGATATTTTCAAAACGTTCATGATAAGGGTAATTACCGTATTTGCCGGCGTATAAGACACACCTTTTTTTCTTTGAAAATAGGTCTGTAAAACAGGGTGCGTCTTATACGTCGATACTCAGTTTTTGATTACGTTCATTTGGAAATTTCCTGTGTTCGGAGTTATGCGATTTCTTTCTTGTTTCTTTGTGTTTGATTCTTTCTTGTTTCTTTCTTTTTGTGAGAATATTACAGTTACGTAGAGTTCAGTGAATGCGTATACGCTCTTATCCATGATCACAGCTGGGTTTGTTTAAACTTTCGAATTTTTGTGAACGACTTTTGAGTGTTTGAAATTTCTACTGTTCAGTTTTTTTAAATTTGTTGGCAAGTTACGGCTCAAAAACAACTTCGGCGTTGCTATAACATAACATACAAGCTACGTGTGATTGCGTATGTTAAAGAACACAGAAACAGGGCTACAGAGAGGCATTTTGCCCCCCCCCCACAACCAACTGAGAAAATAAGAGCTTGGCGGAATCAGGAAGAGGATAAGAGGATCTAAAAAAAGCAACTCATAGATTGGGTATTCGCAGAAATTATTACTTTGTATTTGCATTTCTTTTTATTTAAATACTGTAAATTCATTATAATGATTAGTAATAAAGTTGTATCCTTCAAAAATGTGTATAAAAAAGGGGGTGCTTCTTATAGGCCAGTGCATTTTATAGGTCGGCAAATACGGTTTATAGTAGGCGTTTATTGATAACCATAAGATAACATTATTTCATATTAGTAAAAATACATTCTAACACACTCAAATGCATTATTAGCTGTGTAAGCAGCAGTGTTTATTGAGATTATTGGAAAGAGCTCATGTTTTTGAAGAGTTTAAGAGTTACTTAGTCAGAATTAAACTCCACTGAGAAATTCAGTTTAACTCTAAGGGTAGTTTTGTTGCACATTATTTTCATTTATATATGCGTTATTATAACACATCCCTGACATAACTCTTGATGAAAATTTGAGCATAAATCCATCAAAATTTCATAAATGATTTTAATAAAATTTCGTTTAATTTTATTACTGAAGTATAATTTCAAAATTTGTTAATGCACATCTTGGATTTCATTAAGGTGTGCATTAATAAAATTTTATTAATTATTTTGATAAAATTTGATTTAATTTTACCAATGAAGTATAATTATTAAATTTTATTTATGACACATCTAGGATTTCATCCGTGAATTTTAATAAAATCATTTCCGTAAATTATTCATGAATTTAATAAAATTTATTATTGATTTTAATAAATTTTGATTTTATTTTATTAATGACGCATCATTTGAAAATTTTATAAATGCAGCCCTAAATTGTCTAACAAAACTACTTCACGTTTTCCAATCGTTTATTTTTCTGTGGGTTTTTTATTTGAGATTATGAAACTTAATAAGGTAAATGCATATTTTCTCCCTTTAATAAGTCTATATTATTTGTTGATCATAATAATTTACGAATTTCAGACTAACAATATTCCATTATTCTACTTCATAATTAGATGTCTAGATAAATTATATCTTTAACAGGAGAACTACTTTAATAACTTTAATAGGAACCGAAATGAAGTTTACTCATTTTGTACCATTCACATATTAATGACTTAAAACTATTCGCAATGTTTATGAAATTTATCTCGCAATTTTATAAATATGTATATGTAATGAGAGAGTTATATTTTAAAATATATGTTATGAATATCCTGCTTCAATGTAAACTGTTCCTGTTAAAACGAAGCTTAGCATCAACATAGCGAAACTTCCTCCACAGTGAGATTTATGCTATCTTCCAAAACATTCTTTCCTCAAAATTTAGTATCTGTCTGAAAACTCTACGCTAATATACGATATTTCGAAAATAGAGTTTCACTAACCTGTAATAAATAAGCTAACGTATTTAATTTCGCTAAGCTGACGAAACTTATAATTAAGAATTCTATAGATAATAAATTTTACTTTCTCTGAACATATATTAGAAAATTTATCAAATTATCTTTAAGAGCCATAACACAGACTATTGAACAGAATTCTGAAAGAAAGTTGCGCATTCTTTACTCCACCTGTGTAGTTAAAAGCTAACAATTAAATTAATATTACTGAAAGTTTTCTCATTTTCACGATCAGCAAAATTTTATTTCCTCTTTCAGCTGGCAACGATTACAAACTTTTGTTGTTAATGATTTCTTTAAGAACATTCTAAAGCAGAATATCTGTATGGGATTTAATTAGTAAATGAATGAAACAACTTTTTTTTAACGTTGGACTTCATGAATTTTATATAATTATTTAAAATGTGCTAACGAAGTATCTTCTTAATCACTTAGCCTTGCAACTGTAATCACATTATTATGTTAAATTAGTTTTTAACATATTATGTGTCAACATTATATTCAGAAAATGCCTTAAATGAAATTAAAATCTCTCTAGGGATTTCATTGTTACGTCTTCTGTTTTTCTTAGAAGTGATTTTGAAACAATGCAGTTTCAGGTGACATAAAAGATTCTTAGCTTAAAGTGACGTCTTTCTCCCTTGGGGATTAAAAGGTGAAAAATAAAACAGTACGGAAGATGGGCTTAATATCTGAACCAAATATGTTGTATATCTGAAACAGCGTTAGATGAACGATAAAATTACATATATTACCTAGATGAATAATTTAATTTAATTAATATATCAGAGAAAAGTGGTAGCTAACATCGCCTTTGCATTTTGTTATCAGTATCACTTCAGAATTAGAGATAAAATTTAGACTACATATCCAAATTCGAGTATTGGTATCCTAAAAGACTAGATGTGTTAATAATATTCAAAATGCATTGGATATACTTTAAACGAAAAAAGGAATTTTGATTTTGTTAAAAGCGTTAAATAAAAAGCATATTGCTGTTTTTATACCGTTAGTAATTAAGAAAATAGACTGCAGTTGTATCTATTTACATATGCCTAGAAAACAAACACATTCCTAATGATACTAGAAAAATCAGAGAGCCCTGGGCTGAGCAACTAGACGGATTGTGCAGAATAACATATCAAACATTATAGTAGTTACAAAACTTGACAGACATCATATTTGTATTTAGAATATTAGACAAAATATGCAAAATTTTGAAATAAATTATTAGCCCAAAGGGGCGGTAGCCCAAAAGGGCTATTGGTCAAAACGGCATTTTGTAGCATTTCATTATACACGGCGAATCACATTTTAAATTTTTGCCGAGAAATATTATCACCCTGTATTGAATTTAAAGAAATTAAATAATGGAGAATCTGCATGAACCTATGTATTTTTCTCGCATTCTAAAAGAACGACGGTACCTACAGACATCAAATTTTGAATAACGTTATCTTCCACTTGAATATGAGCATCTGGAAACTTGAATTTTGAATTTCGAATTTGTTTTATAATCTACTTCATATTTTTATTACTTCATATCTTTCATGAATTTTTGATTAATAAACTGAACGATTTTAAAGCGAGCGATGGTAACACGGTACGGAAAAAAAATTACATCTGCAGCGAGCGACTGTCTGTCGAAAATTCTAAGCACATGCTGTTTTTAAATATTTTGTGATATTGCTGTTGAATTGAACTTTATGTGATTTAAGTGCGAATGACGTGATATTTAATAAACAAAAGTAACCCAGAAAACGCTAGAAAAAGGTCCCTTTGTGCGTAAAGTAAAATCTGAAAGCTTTTGGATTTTTTTAACGAATATATTTTAATGAAATGCACATTAATATGTAAAACGAATACATGATGGCGCATTAAAAGGCTTACTTTACAAAACTGACATGATTTTTAATTTC